CCTCCATCCTCCATGACCCCCGCTGTGCTGAAGTCTGCGTCCAGGACGCTGGTGATTGGATCGACAGGCGGGAGCATGATCACCACTGGGATGGCCTCGGTACAATCACACTAAGTGCTATTAAGATAATTGGCTGCACACTAATGCCCCTCACTGTTGTCACAGCAAGTGCTGTCTTCGGGAGTGTCTTTCCAACGCTTGTAATCCATTCTGTGCTCATCAATTTTCCATCTGGCAGATTGCGAAGTATTGTTCTGCTTTTTCTTCCAGACACTCATGAACTACCTCTGGTTTGGGAAGAGCCTAAAGGAGGCGATTGCTGCTGCGGTTTTTTTTGTCGACTCTTTCAATTCAGTAAAGTTTGAATCCCACTTTGATCAGGTAATACATTCTATACATTTTAACTAAGTTTTAGATTTGTTAGTTAACTCACACCTTCATTCAAAATCCTACTTGATAGAAGTATCCTACCTCCGTCATCATGTTACGGAGGTAAACAAAGGAGTCCAATGGACGCGTTTCAGGCAGGGGTGGAGTGTGTGGGAGAGACACTCCCTCTGGAGGAAAATGTACATGCACCAAAACCTATATAACAGATAGGGAAACCCCCAAAAAGAATAATAGCGCCCAATAAAAATGTATTACATTTATATAATATCAGTGAACTATAATTAATAATGCATTAATCAGATCAGAATCTGAAATCCTTTATTATTCCCACAGTGGGGAAATTAACGGTGTATTTCAATATTGCAGCTAATAAAGATGGATATAACTGTATTTGCTATATAAACTGCTGATTACCTTTAAAAATGCATCATCATTTATTTATACATTTATATTTTATGATTCTAGTTATCTGAATCATAAAAATAAACAAATATTGTTGTGTAAAAAGAATAATATTAAAAAAAAGTTGAGTGGAATTTTAAAAAGCATAAAATTGAAATAGTAAAGTAAAGTACTTCCTTGAGCACAGCACTTGAGTACTCCTATTCCCCTTTCAGGAACTAATCGAGGCTCTGAAGGCTCTGGGACAAAAACGGTATGGTGGGGGGATTTTCTACAACGTGGTGAATGCTGTGGAGAAGAAAGATGGCTGCATCTGCGCCGTGTCTGACGCCAGGAAGATGGGCGAGGCCGCCGGCTACTGAGACCAGGAGCCGCTGACATTGGTTAGGCAGGAGGGCCTGAAGGTTACGGAGCCCTTCTGCAACACAGATGGTGTTAAATCATCGAACATGTCACCGAATACCAGGCCGCTGCAGATGAACACTCACAAGCAGCAGTTAAACACGTGGTGTGTGAACATAACTGACTGTAACGGTGACATGATGCATTTGACCACCATCGAAGAAACAACCGTGACTGAATGTGACCTCTTGTGAATCAGCTTATTCGTACACATCGTCCCACTTATGTCATTAGTTGTGTCTTTCTACTGTAAAAATATTTGCATTCCATTTTTAAACATCTTGCTAATTACATTCATGTCAGAGATACAAAATCCTTTTCAGACCACATTTTATTGAATATACAGCAAATGAAATACAGTTATAGGTATGATAATGAAGTAAAGCTTTTTTTTCCATGTTTTATATTCTATTATAACTTTTATGTTTTAAAACACAGGAACTTCCCGAAAGCTGATTATTTAGATGCAAATTTCCTGCAAGATATCAGTTATCTATACCTCGATGAGAAATTTCACAAATAAGCTAAAACCTTTTTGATTTGTTCTTAAGAACGTTTTATGTGTGGGTGATATAATCTCTCGCAATTCTTGAGTTTGACACAATAATAGCTGAAGAGGTGCAATGAATGAACTTGTTGATAAAGGTGTCGCAAAGAGAATGTATAAACTAAAAGGTATGTACAAATATTTAGTTTTTGGTGTTGCATTTATATGGTAATAAATGAAAGGAAAATAACTTGTGAATCAAAACAACCAATAGAACACCAAAATGGCCCTCATCTGGCTTTTAACCCTGAGGTCACTGCTTTTTAATTTTTTAATTATGCACCGCTCCGTGCCATAATGTATTCTGAAAAACCTGCGTGACTTCTCTGTGCTGGTTTTAATACATTATTTTGTGCCTGAGCATGCAGCAGCTGGAGCAAGTTAATCAGATCAAATAGTGACTAACAGGAGAACCATTTCCAGGGAGAAAGTTTGTGAATAAATATAAATATTAAGCCTCTGTGTAGCGGCCAAAATCATAGTTGAAAGTATGATTGCGGCTGAGGCACCAGATAGCGAATTTTACGCAGGGAATGATCCAAGTCCAGACAAGATCGTCAGTTCTGTGCATTTTATTTCCATGATCCAATATCGCAAAGGTACAATGAACAGGTGTACTTTCCTTAAGCCTTTCCTATGGCTTTCTTTCTTTCTTGCTTGAATAACCCTGGTAGAAAACGATATGCCTACTAGTGCTCTGGCTCCCACCACTACCTGTCTCTAAACTATGAAATAATATATAGCTCCAACACTCTGTACAAAGGCACATATGGGGAATGCTTTCAATTCACAAATTAAAGTGAAATACATATATTTCAGTTGTTTTTCTTATTTCCTTCAAAATCTCAGGAACAAATCAACCCTGAAGGAGAAGGTCAGATGTGATCCGGGTTATTTTTAAGGGTGTGCTTCATGCCCTCTCACATGGTATTTGGACCTCAGGGGGTGTGACAGTCACACTGTGCTCTGACCTTATAGGAGCCACCTGTAGCAAATGTCACATTACCATGACTGACAGCAGAAACAAAAGGTAGCCAGGAGAGCATTATGGGTAGATGACCGCACTGGCTTTCCCTGGTAAACAGAGGCAGCCCTTTTGTTGACAGCACACAGTGGTGGAGAAAGTATTCAGAAATGGCCCTTGAGTAAAGATTAGCAGTAAATATACTCTGTAACAAGTAAAAGTCCTTTATGCAAAAGCATTAGGATCAAAATATACCAAAACTAAGTCGTTTTGCAGAATGGCCTATTTCAGAACCATGTATTAAATGATTCTGTTATAAGTGATGCATTAATGTGTTCATCACCTTATGTTTAAATTGGTAAAGATAGTGTTTATTTGAATTAATATATATATACTGCCTGGTATATTAACCTTTAATTATAGATAATAATGTATTATTTGATGTACATGTTTTATTAATATTCCAAATCTGCAAAGTATCTGGTAACTAAAGCTATCAAATTAAGGTATTAGAGCTACTACACCCTTTTCCTCCACAATGAAGTGCAGTAGAAGTATAAAATAAAAAAGTGAAAATTCTCTATTACAAATACCTCAAATGTTTACTAAAGTATAGTACTTGAAGTGTACTTAAATGTACTAAATTACGTTGTAGCACTGACAGCACACATATGACCTTCTGGCTAAACAACTAAATCACTTCCTACGTCAGTATGCTTTGAGCCTTTTCTTTTATTCATCTATTTGCAGACTAATCAGCATAAAAATAAACCCTCTGTTTCTTTCAGAAGCTGCAGGTTCTGCTTGTGACCCAGTTACTTCAATTCACTCTTTTTTACAATGTGGAGATCTGCAAAATGAAACAAATACAGACTTCTGAGTTGGGATTGGTTCTTTTATTGGCAGTCAGTGTTTGGCATGAGACAAGAACACACAGGCTACAAGAAGAGTTTGACACACGGGAACATAAAATACTAAACAAAGTGGACAGTGCTTTCCATCATTCAAATTTCACATTCGATTTGAAAGTTCTCTGCATTTACTGATCTATTTCCTGTCTTATTGTGTAATCCCATCAGCCACGTCCCTTTTTTTGTTTGCTCTGCAAGCTTACAGCTGGAGGTCAGTTTCATATTAAGAGTCATTATTATAATTACAGAGTCAGACAAAAGACGAAACACCAAAACAACAACACAAATAATTACAGCAGTAATCAGACATTTTACTGTTACACACACATATAACACACACTTAAACATTTATTATATATCTGGTGATTTTCCTATGATCATTCTAACAATCAATAGCCATTTGGTCATCATTTCACCCTTAAAAGAGGTTTTGCGTTCAGCTTCGTACATACAAACAATGTACACAGAGGTTATGCTATGGAGAAACAGAAATATAAAGAAAAAAGTATCCTTAAAGTGCTTTCAGTCAGTCTAACTTCATCATTATGTGCTACTGTAGACAGACTATAACCGATATTTAACAGTCATGCTTGTGTCTCATAAGAAACGCAGAGCCACTGAAGTACGGTTTCAATAAATGGAAATGACTACATATTTGAAGAGACAAACGGCAGTAGGACCAACTGCACTGCTCAAACTAGCTGGCCCACATAAACACTTGGCTGTGGTGTCATAAACGCACTGAAAACACTGTGGTGATAGCTACATCAGCTCAGTAAGACCAATATCAGCATTTAGGCTAGTACAAAAACAAGCAGTGACAGCTATCCATTGTTGAGTCCTACCTGTTGTCTTCTAAGATTGCTTTGTTCACCAAAAGTGCACAAAAATAGCCCGTGTAAACACAAGAGAACCATGTTTTGTGCCCTCATTTACATCTACACAAGGGCTGCGTGGGTATTCACAAGTGGACATTTGGAAAGGGGGGGAATACGCGAAAAGTCTTGACATAGCAGTTTTGCTGGCGTCACGTGACGGGTCGTCGGCTGTATAGTCTGTTGAACTTGTGTCATAGCTTTTGTTGAGAGATTAACAGAGAACACACAATGTGGAGCTAGGCTCTGCCTGCCAGAGATAGCCTCAGTCCTGGTAGAGAACCCACAGGGACCCTCTGTTTCCAAACTAACTCCAGCTCCACTTTTAGCCACCGCCGGGATGCTGCTCATCCATACAACCAACTGAACTAAATCTCCTTGGGATTGGCTCCTCAGAGAGAACGAGAGAAAGAGAGAGGGAGAGAGAGGGAGAGAGAGGGAGAGAGAGAGAGAGAGAGAGAGAGAGAGAGAGAGAGAGAGAGAGAGAGAGAGAGAGAGAGAGAGAGAGAGAGAGAGAGAGAGCACCGCTTCATTAACTCTTCCAGCCCCCCTCCAATGAAACCGCACCTCGTTCCCAAGAGCACCATCCACCAACACAGTAAGTCCACCGTCATCACTTTCTTCTTGTGTGCGTTAACTCAGAGATGGTTAGGGATAGCCTGGTAGCCGTGTCGGGACAAGAAGTTCACAATGTGGGCACATGTCGCCCTCGTGCCTCGAAGGGTGACAGGGCTCGTGGTGTGAGGGCAATAGGGCAAAGGAGGTAACAGAGTGCTGTGGGACGCATTTCGACCCCCGTTGAAAGAGCCTCGAAGTGGGAAAGCCCGATCACCTCTCACAGTAGTGGATGGTGAAGTCTTTGGAGAGCTGCTTTTCCCCTAAACTCCACTGCTCCAGCTCAAATTTGTCATCCTCGTCTTCCTCTTCCACCTCCTCCTCCTCCTCCTCGTAGTGGCTGGGCTCCTCGATGGAGGTCTCCAGGTGGTAACAGTAGGGTTGCCCCTCTGTGTACTCGTAGATAGTCGGTAGGCTGCTCTTGAGGCTGCAGCGCCGACGCAACGCCACCAGCAGCGGCTGCGGCATGGTGAAAATATCCACGTTGTTGCCGAGGTCGATCCAGGCCAGGCTGGAGAACATCTTGGGGTCTTTGAGCATCTCTGTGAGGTCTTTGAGGATGACCAGGGTGAGGCGGTTACCGTTCAGAGCCAGGGTGCTGAGTTTGGGCAGCACGGCGAGCAGAGGCAGGAGAATCTTCAGGTTGTCGTCCTGGAGGTCGGTGAAGCTGATGTCCACAGCCACCACGCTGTCTCGGTTGTTTTGGAGGTAGAAGAAGACTTGGCGGACGTCGCGTGTGGACAGGGGGATGCCTGACAGGTCGACACAGTCCCCGGAGAGCTTTTTCTGCAGGGTTGTCTTGAGACTGTTAGTGATAAAGAAGAAAAAAAAGAGTTGGATTACTTAGATGGAAATACAGAAACTAGTTTAGGTAATGGCTGGAGGCAGAAAGAATGTAACTGGGGAACTATACTCCCTGGTTTGATGTTGTGTTTCCTGTGCTGTATAAAGAAGGGGTGACAGGGCCGGCATGGAGCGGAAGGCTGACATAGAGACTCCAGCATGGGGATTTACTTGTGTAAACAGAAGAGCCAAAACATCCGAATGAGCCAACAGCTTGAGCCCAAAACTCTGACGGCCGGGAGCACAGAGCTCCTTACAGCACAGGGCCAGGACAGAGTGCTGCTTCAAAGATAAACTATAATGTGTTTTAAAGAAAGATTAAACTTGAATTGAAGATACTTGGCCTGTTTATTTATAAGGCTGGAAAGGAACGTTTTGGAAATGCGTTCTTAGGATTATGCTTTTATCTCCAGCAAAGAAGCCATGGTTGCTATAATGCATTTTTCAAAGCTACTGAGAAAAACCTGAAGAAAACATTTGGTGAAATTTGGGGGAAAATATGTTTTGTTTGTATCTGAAGTGCAGGTGCAAGAAGTATTTCCCTAATATAGTGTTTGAATGCTTTTCCTTTTTTTATCTTGCTTGCTTGAAATATGTTTTTTTCCAGGTGCAATTGTTGCTAAAACCTTTAAAGGGCAAAGGTTTCTCCTATAAGGCTGTTTTATTTTATTTCAGATGACTTTATTGTCCACTAGATTTGCATATCATTGAAATGTGTCTTTGGATTTGCATTTGAGACAACACACACATGAAACACAACAACACACGACAAGTATGCATCTTAAAATAACTTTGTGTGACCAAGTTGCATTAATAAATGTGCTGAGTGTATTGTTTTTTCCGCTGGCATGTTGGTCCATCAACATCAAGTACAGTGCTTGAACTTTAAACAATAAATACATACATTTTCAATTAAAATAAGGGGTGGTGTTGGTTTCAGAAAGTCCTTAAACCAACCTTCTTGGTAGTATATGGAGGTTATTTATAAAGAAAATGACAATAAAAGAAGCATTATTCTATATGTAGGTAGGGAGTAATATGTGCAAGACATCTGTTTGTTTTGGCTCTTACATAACACACCTTTGAAACCATAAAGCTCTTCAGGATATCGTGTAATACAAGCAGGATTTGAGGCTCAATGTGAACACAATTGATACCTTTCTGTAGTTATCTCTTCACATTGCTGCTGAAAGGATGTGTGCATTATTTACACACTTCTTTGCCCTTTTGTTTCCAGTCAGCCACTCTCCTGTCCACGAGAGAATGCAATATGTCTAACTTGAGCTGTTTCTGAAGAGGCCTGTAACACTGATTCAGTGTCAGAATGAATTATAACATCCTACGGCGCCCAGTGACTTACTGTGACATTCATCACGGTGCCTGGCACTTGTCATGTTTTAGAGTGTTTTTTGGGACTGAAAATGGATGTGCCCGGAGCGGCATTTACTGCTTCATTTGAGAAGTAGTTGATGGGTTGATGAGAAGAGGCTTTGGAGCATTAGTAATTGCAAAACAGGAAAAAAAACGAGTATAAAACCCACTCATGAAGCCAGACAATGAGGGAGTTTAATCATCGGTTGAGCACAAACTCTATGAGATCAAGACATTTATCTGCCGTATCTTTTTCAAAGTCTTGTGAGCCCCAGTTCTCCCACTCTCTATTGTCTGCCCTCTTTATATGACAAATCCCTCATTTTCTCCAGAGTAACAAAAGTCCTAATGGCCGCTAAGGCTCCTCTGCAGGTGTGAATAGGTTTTGATCACACAACTCCTTCCTTTGTCAGACAGACTCAGCCTTCGGAGCTCAGGAAAAAATGGATGTCTGAGTCGTCCTCTCCGCAAGCCTCTTTCATCCTTCCTCCAGATTAATGTGACAGAAAACAAAGGTGTCGCTGATAACTTCCAGCAGACAGCTTTCTGTCGTCTCCATGCCCTCGAGAACACTGTCACTAGGGTTCAGTTTAAATGACAGAACTTGTTTGGAGGTAAGCGATTCAAAGAGATTAAAAAAGCAATCATTCAGAGGTGTGCTTTTTCTCGACTAGGAACAAATCACTTTCGTCACATGTTGCCTAGAAGATGTCCAAAGCAGCAGGCAGAAAGAAATAATCCCTATATGCACCACAGTATTGAATTGATGCATTTCCTTTGTTTTTTGAACAAACCTAACCTTTTCCAGCTTATAAAAAATACAAATAAATAATTGAAGCTAGCCTTAGCCAAAAAATGGCTCTAATGTTAGTCAATAGTGGTGGTTCATCAATTTAGATGCACAATCAAGTCTAATATATAACAATTAATTATCTGTTAAGTAATCAATTCAATTGACATTGTATAAAGAAGCTTTCTGTTAATTACCACTTAAAGAGTGATGAAGCACACCTCGTCCCTCATCAGTCTCCGTGTGTCATTGATTTAATATAATGAGGCAGCATTCGAATTCAGTCTGCGTAAATGGAAACGCTGTTCATATTTATTAACTTTAATATTCATGTCTGGAGGGTTAGCTGATGCTATAACTGAGATGAGGTGAATTGCTATTTATAAAAAGGAGAAAATAATGTTTAAAATCTGTTTAACAGTACATGTTAATAAGAGGCATTTGTTAAAAAAAAAAAGTATTTAAACTTTGAAGTATTTCACAGGAGTTCATTTTCTCCTCGCTCTCCCTCTGGCTATTTTTGAATTGCTCTTCCGTTTTGTTTTCTGCAGAGTCATTTACAGTTTGGCTTTGTTCTATAATTCATACCGGCCCCCTGATGGCTGAAACTGCACAGAGAGACACAAGATGAGCAGCCGAATCACATCTGCTCACTGACATTTCATTTATATTTTCAATTCTGATGCATTATATTCGCAAGACGATAAAGGAGCAGGCAATAGTGACACACTCAGACACACACTACGGCATTGTCCTTCACGGTGCGGGAATCCACAGCTAACAGTCCATATCAATAAAAGCATATCCTGCACAAAGATACTACCCCCCAATTCTTTTAGTTTGATGGATGTTTTGGTCAAAAACCCAAGCTGAGGAGCTGCTTTGCCCTTTCTGTATCTTATTGTGTATTTTCCTGGCATACTGAAGCTGAATCACTCAGTAAAAATGACTGATGGGTCCCTTGGCAATCTTTAACAGGTGTACTATGCTACAATGCACAATGTAATGTTTCATGGTGAATATGAGATCAGGTGTAAAAACAGAAATGTTATGATGCTGGCAATGAAGATAAGTGATGTGAAAACTAAAAAGCCAGCGGCAGCAGAATGGTAGTTTCTGTTCTTTCTGAGCATTAAGGTAACAAAGGAACAGAGTGAATGAGAGGTCAAACAAGGCTGATGGAACAGGAAGATTGCGGTGTGAAAATTGAAAGAAAAAGGTCACAAAAGTGTTTTACGCTCACACGAAATTACCCGTAAGGTTGGAGCGCCTTTGCAGCATTTTTTAGGTCACTGCTTCTATCAAGCTGGTGGTCAAGATCTTATTGAATGTGAAAAAAAAGGAAGAAAAACATTTCTAGCAAAAGCAAAATAAACTAGTTAGATAGATTAAAAGGATTATTGCGATTCAGACAATAATTCAGTGTGGCATTTCAGTCAGAAATGTGTGTACAGCAATTAGACAGACCGGTGTGCAGGGCTAATGCTGGATAATGAAGGGATCAACAATCCGGTGGCATTAAAATGGACTGAGCCCTCTCTGTTTCCCCTGGGTACAGAGAGACCTCTCAGAGGTGAGATTGCTGCATTTTTGCACAGATGAGGGCAGTTTGCCTGCAGCTGAACAAAGAAGCAAGTTAAAGAGAAGTAAAATCCACCCTGAACAATGTCTATAACGTTCCTTTATTTTGAATTTGGACACTTTTATTCTTATTTGATGAGGGACTACATCATAATATTGGGAAATACACTTAACTTCTCTAATGCAGAAAGTTAGATGAAAAGATGGATGCTACTCTCATGTCTCATTAAATAATTACCTATCTGCTTTTATAAAAGACAATACAAAAAAGCATCTTGAGAAATTGAGTTGTCTATCCAAAGAAAGTGTCAGCCTGCCCTTGACTCGTGTCTTTGTATCTGACAGGCATTTGTGTGTGAACACAGCAGCAGACGAAGCTGTCGGGCTCACAGCATCTACTGTATTCATATTCTGTTTTAAGGGTGGATTTTTTGTATGAATGATTAATGTTGCTTCTGCTGTCTCAGTCAGTGTCAGGCAGTCTCTCTCTCTCTGCAGCTTTAGGAAAACAACACCATGACTAAGTAAAAAAAAAGAAGCTCCTTTTCTGGGAATTTAACGATCAAATGTTTCTGCACATTTTTCGGAGATACTGTCAGATAAATCTTGTGTATTTCCTTTTCTGGGGCGCATTAAACGTCCACGAGCACAACAAAGCCCTGCCTGTGCAGCTCCACGGTGAAGTGTCTGATCCTTCGAATACGTCTTTTCCCTTTCCTCTGATACTGCGTGTTGATACCTCTGACTGACTCATAATGAACCTGTCTCATCTCACTGTGTTCCCATTGTCGCCGTCTCAATGCTGGGGTTATTTTCACCCTCGGAAAATGAATTCATTATTTGCAGAGTCTAGCCGGCTGTTGAATAAGCAATTACATGAGCAATAATTACTGTAGGGCTTATGAAGAGGATTACTAATAAACACCTGAGCACACAAAAAATCCTATTTGTACACAAGCCAATTCTCTATTCATCATTTGCACATCAAAAGCAATTCAGTCTTTCATCAACACGATGTATTATAACATTATTACATCCCTGCTTTTCTTCAGCGAGCAGATGGACAGATTTGTAGCTGTGCCGCTTTTGGAGAGAGAGAAGGCAGTAAAAAACGCTAACACGAACCTCGGCACTTAAAAGAGAAAGATGATTGACAGCTGTGGTTACTACGGAGATCCCATCAGGTCAGCCTGTGGTTAGCGCCGTCCTAGCTCAATGTCAGCTACAAAGATGGAAATCTCTACAGCCCTGCTCTCTGTGGTGCGGAGCTGCAGATTTATTACAGACTGGACTTCAGGACAGAAGGGCTTACCAGGCCTGGGATTTCCGTCTGGACATGCTCTGCCTCAGCCACTTTGAGTGTGGGGTCAGGTGGTAGATCAGCTGTCTGCAAATCTTATCTGAAGACTTTATGGTGTCTGCATCCTGTAGCACAGAGCAGAGAGATCATATTAATAATGACAAGCAGGACCAAAAGTAGTGACGCAGCAGATTTCTATAACAGATTTTCTGCCTGTGTGTTGCAAGAGAAATTATCATCTCACATTATCTTGGCTTTAAGTTTCCTACATCTTATAACATGTACCAACTTTATCAACAGTGTAGGATATTTGTTATCATTTGTGATGCCTTGAGCTACTCCTGAACAAAACACAATTAGGCTGCTTTGCTGGAGCAAGAAAATCTAATCACATGCAGTGTGCATCGGTGGGGAAAAACACAGGAAGTGCACAGGAGAGGTGAGATGCAACGCAGTCACCGGGAAACACTTGAAATTTCAGTTTATTAGCCATGTTGTGGCTGCTGGGGGCCATGAACTTAATTTAAAAAGAATCCAGTATTCACGGATGAGCTATGACTTCCTTCCGTAAAACCCAGCATATTTATTTAGTTAAAGCTATTTCATTTGATTCCTTTTCCTTATGTAAATATAGCAAATATTAAGTAGTAAGTAAATCCATTTTAATTGGGTTTTAGATCTCAAGACATACAGTAGTTACATGAAATTGCATTGAAAGAAAATGTAACCACTATACAAATCTAGGATTCATATTAAAAACCGCTTTTCCTATTTCTACAGCTCATAAGAAGCACATGTCTGAAGGATTTCTTTCATCCGTCTGTTGAAACTTGAGTCGATGACATCCTCAGATTGGATTTCCATTGATCTTGAGAACTTACTACTTAACAAAAGGAAACCATAATTGGATTATTTTCAGGAGAATGCTTTTGCAGAATACTAACATCAAACTGGATCTCAGTGGATATTCGCTGCATGGTTTAAAGAAAGGAGGAGTAAAGCAAGCTCACCTTCTTAGGACATTGCATCTCTCGAGCCAGGCTGAGCAGCAGCTCGTGTGAGATGGGGTCCACCAGGTTGAGGAAGGCCGCATTTTTGTATAAGATGTCATTGAGCGAGGTGCCTTCCAAACCAAGATCCTAGCAAAGCAGACAAGATGGGATGTATCACAATCACACCAAAATGGAATTATAAACAAAAACATTGTGCTATAATTTCAATCAGCTATCTAAACATGTGACTTTCGGCCTGAGGGAAAAAAATGCATTAGTGTTGGAAGCAGGGCACAGCTGTGTCAAGGGCAATGTGAAGTGGAAATGGAAAGATAAAAGAAGTGTTTTGTTTTAAATATTCATTACAAACGAGAGGAGATTTGTCATCTACTGAAGGAAAGTGAGATCTGGAGGGTGTCGCAGGAAAAGCTGTGTTTTGGCACAGTATATTGGCACTAAGCCACACGTTTCCAGGCATGCCACAGCACGTACAGTCTGCAGAAACACACAACTCCTTGAAAACCTTGTAGATTTTGGTTATTTGTGATGTCAGCTCCAGAAATATGCCTGACTTACTATGAGATGAGGATATCCTTTTATAAAAGCCATCAAGAAGAAACATCTAAAATGCATGAAATTCAGTACCGTATGTTATTTTTTAACACAAATATATTTCTCTAAACACATCCCATTTATTTTTCTTGGTTTATAATCCTTTTTACTTCATAGGAATATGGCATTGGCACAATTTGATGTAAGATGTTGAGTGAATGTGATTATATCTGCAAAGAGGTCAAAACAGACAGTTATCATGTAAGCTTACTCATAATTATGAGGAATCCAAAAGGCTATGGAATAATAAATAGAAATCACATCAGCTGGAATAAAAAATAAATGTCAGATGACCTTTTAAATGCGGTGAGACAACTGTGTGTACTGAAATGCAAAAACACACTTCATCAACACATCCACCATCCAGGTCTTACGAGGGAAACTATATGCGGAGCTCTTGTACAGCCATGCACCTTTAATGAGAGAAGTAAACCACATACTGTGTGCACACACCTGCACACGCACACATTTCCTTTCTCTCCGACACAATCGGCATTGATTGTAATAGACAGTTTGAGTGGGAGGCTGACAGCTTCACATTACTGGCTCCCCTCCTAACAAGGGCAACAGTAAACACAGACGGAACCCAAGCTGCTTCTGCCCTTCTGAAAAACAAGGTTTAAAAATATCTCCCCTCTGAGTTTAGACACGATCAATTGTAATGTGTGAGCACAGCGTGAAGCCATGAATCCTTCCCATATCTGCAGCAGACCTCAGATCTTTTTCACATCTAGAGCAGGGCTCACTGTTGCACTCGCCAATTAAATCTGCCACAAACTCCTTTTGAATTCACAGAACAACATCTTTCAGATATCTGCCTGCAATGCTGCAAGTATATATAAAGGCTTATATAATGAAAGTGTAGCTCATTTAGAGCACATATCCCCTGTGACATGGCTGTCATGAAGCCTATAGGCCGACCAGGTTATCTCCTCGCCTTGATTAAGGACGTTCCACTCTCTCCTGTGTCATGGCTTCACAGTAATTAACGTTGGATTTGCTGACAGCTAAAAGAAAGAGGGGGCCTTGAGGGTAGGCAAACACATTAGATTTCCAAGGCTGCTGCTACATCTTCCATGCACCTACATATTGTTTTTAATGATATCCCACAGCAGGTGAGAAAAGCCTTTGAAAACAGGCCTTTGATTGAGATGTAACATCCTTTATTCAGGAGCTGGACTTAACATATTCCTGGTCATGACAACAACAATACCTGCTTGTTAGTATTGTCACGGCCAAGTGAAGACTGCATCTTATTTACTGCAACAAAAGCTTTTTGAAAAACAATAAAAACAGCTTTGTTGTTTTTGGCATTTGGGGTGTATATGTTTTCATCAGCTAAGAAGCAAAATAAATCGTTAGCAATCCGTGGTTTCCACAGGTTATCACATCACCACAGAGGTGTGCACAACACAGACTTCAATAAAGCGGTGTACATTTTCATTTCTCTGACCTTTTTTTTATAGAGTTAATAATTATTATTTTGGGGAAGAATAATATTGTGTATCCTGAAACACAGGACTCCAGGGCTCACATTATTGTTAATGCTTGAGCACAGGCCATTACAGAGAGACACATTAGGAGTGGAGAGGGATGGAGAGGGCAGGTTGCTCTAATGGGAGCAGGAGAAACAGCCTGAGGGGAGGCGAGACTGTCCGTATGCATGAAATATGGACATATGTAGGGAGGCTTGTGAAGAGGAGGGGGATGGTTACATTTGTGTGTGTAGAATCTATATCCATATATTACCATAACTCATCCAAAGAAAATGACATTTGGAATAATGTAATGACACTGTGTGACCATTTCCTCTTTTATAGTGTTAGTAGTTCTGTCAAATGAAATGTCAACACGGAGCACGTCCACACACAGTGAGAGTGTGTGGTGGGTCACAGCTGTCTGAAAACAAACGTGTCACTGGTTCAATGCTCTGCCAGTGGCCTACTTTCATACAGAAATGCTTCTGTCCATTAAGTGGAAGAAGTACAGTACAGTAGGCTCACCTGGAGGTGGGGTGAGGTTTTAGGTCAGATGTCAGGGGTTCAGAGGGGGTTAAGCACCTGTGGCACTACAAGATTCAGAGGAAATCACGACAGTGCATTCAAAACACACAAGCAGCTCCTGCTTGTTCTCCATCTGTTGCTCTGGGATGTTTTCAGGATGTATGGCTGTGTGCGCATCAAAGCAGGCTGAAAGCAGTAGTGCAGAATGTAAACAGGTCTGACTTTCCTGCACTCAGGCCGGGCAACGTGCAGTTTCCACTTACCTTCCTCAGTAATTTGAGCACGTCAGTTGCCTGCTCTATCCTGCGGTCACGGAGCAGCTTCTGGATCTCTTTGATCCACGCCACACGCCTGATGTACGGGCTGTGGTTGGTCCTCCGCAGCATCCCGGGCAGTTTGTCTGATTTCAGCATCAGTGCAAACAGAAAGTCCCCCCCGCCGCCTCGGCTGACCCTGTCGCTCTCTCCGGTGCTTTCCTGAAGCTTGCGTCTCTTTTTGGAGAAATTCTCATTGTCCAGGCTGCTCTGCCTGCTCAGTCTGGAACCCATGGTGTTGTTGTCGCTACAGATGCAGGCGGTGTGTGTCGCAGCTCAGACGATATTACAAAGAGGACAAACCCATGATCAGCCTCTGTGTTTGGATGGTAGAAAACAGCGTCGTGTTGTCTGGCGCTGCGTAGCTGTCTGGATCCGGTGCACACACTATCCCTCGACAGTCTAATGTATCACTTCTCTCTCCCATGCAACCGCTACACTATTTTTTTATTTGTACCTCCACCGCGGGCTATCCGTGCGCCTGGCTCAGATGCTGAGGATGCTCCGGTTTCTTCATCCTCCGGCCGTGCCTACTTCACACTGCTGTTTAGATTTCAGCAACGTGGAGCGTCCGACCAATCGCATCATCTGGTGCCCACTACACTATGCGTCTCTCCTCCCAGTCTTGAAATAACCCCTCAGCTACACGAATCTAAAATAAAGAATTAATTTGAGTGAAAATGTGATCATGCATTTAATTTACAATCTGATAAACCATGATGTGAAGTGCCAAGAAGTCCTCGAAATAATTAGAAATACAAAACAGTCAGAATGAGTTTGAGTCTTGAGGTTGTTTGATAGGAACAATTAGCGTTTTACTCCAGTTGATCAAGTGTGCATTGCCATTGGCCTTGTGCACATATTAATTATTTCTTTTGCTGGCAATCCTGTTGTCAGCCATTGCACCAGCTGTAAGATGCACCTGTCAGAACTCTACTAAATCAACGTTTTTCTCCGAGCAGCATTCATGTATGTTAATCTCACATGAATCAGTATCAAAAAGATCTTTGTGATTGATAGAGGACCCTTGTAAAACAACAGAATACTGTGGTCAGGGGCCTACAGCTGGCTCTTGTCTTTGCACCTCCCATTACTCTTCATGCTTTACCAGAATAAAAAAGTATGTGTAAAAGCACACCTACACCTGCAGCGTTTCTTCTTCATGGGACCCAATCTTATTAGGATGAGGTTTGTGGTTGTCATGGAGTGATTTTTTTCATTTATTTGAAGGTCCCATTATCTCGTCTTTAGGAATTTTGTCCTGATTTGACTTAAACCCGATCTAGGCGTTTAGTGGAGCAGGGCGGTTGATGCTGTCTAATAAATATTATCCCTGGCTGCCCTATATCCTCCCCGGACACGGCCTGCTTATCTTCCTAGAGGTTGTACTAATGATTGTCATGGCGCCTTTAATTCAATGTGCAACCCAATATATCAGCCCCATGCTACTAATTTGTTTGTCAAAGCTTTGACTCTCCAAGCAATGCTGAAAAAATAACTAATTTAGCAACACATGCTAAACATAATTGTCTTTCCTGCTTTATGCATTCTGTCAAACATTTTTTATGATCTATAACCACTGGATAGTGTAAAGTATCTGGCGTTTTTGAGATGCTTAAGGGGGTGCACCGCTTTTACAGATGCACTACTCAGTGCATTACTGAGTCTGTAAAAAAAGCTCTAAAAAAATCCTGTAGTTCTGGAGGGAGAAAACATAACCCCGAAAATGTCGACAGGGTTATCTTGGCTTCAGTTTAAAGCCTTTTATCAGAAAACCTGTGCTACAAACTAGAGGTTTGCCTTGGGGTTTAAAAACAAATGTAGACATTTAGGAGGAAACATGATTTGATGAAAGATGTTATTAAGTTGTATTATAGGAGCTTAATAATTCACCCTTATTGGAGATTAACTAAACTAGAGACTCAGGTAAGAATATTACAATTTTGACCTTTCTAGAACCAAAATGACAACAGCAGAAACTAAAATAAAATGTTCATGGCCTTTCAAATCATGCAGAACATCAAAAGGAAAGCAGATGCAATTAGGGTGTAAAACAATGTCGCACTAAATAATGATCTGATCTCAACAATCATGTGCAAACAACTTGAATTTGAAGGGTTCACATGCAAACAAGTTTGAGGTACCATTGGGATATAAGATATGTTTTTCACAACCATATATCTAAAAATAAATCTGTCCTTCACTGCTAAGAAAAATATGCTGAATTTCCATCTTGTAGTTCATACACAGTCTGTGACTCCCTATAATCAAAGAAGTGCACCTACCATTAACAACACATGACATCACCTCCTTTTCCAACGTTGGCCATCTCTCCACTGTATGTGTTTCTGAATGCTGCGTTTCACCTGTCACTGAGGAACAACAGCAGCATGTGATTTGATTTGCTGAGTACAATCCTTCTCCTTTATTGTGAGAAAATAATGTGAAGGAGGCCTGGTGGGTAGGACTGCATCCCTCCTAGCAAAGTCTAAATGAAACCTCTAGCTGAGGGACAGACATATGAACAAGCTCCAGCTGATATTTCATAAAGCAACCCTCTTGCAGTGACAGTGACGTGCGCACAAAGGCTGAAGGAAGGCTTTTGTGATCTGCAATAGACAGATATGTAATTGCTGTCTTCCGCTATGAATCAGGTCTGTCCATTAGATAAACTCTCGTCCTTGGGGCGGCTCTGAACCTGGAAGATCCAGAACAGGATAGTAGTGATTAGATTTGTACACAGCAGCAGCCCACAGGCTCCTTTGACAGTGCTTTTTAGGAGTGGGCCACAGGAGTGCACACAGGATTAGCTGAGGCAGCACAGAAGGGTATGTGCTATTGAGAAGCTCCTGTCTCTGCCAGTTAGCTTGGACCTGCGCTGCCGGGAGAAGGCTCAGGCATCTCAATTGCTCTGAGGACGCCTGCAGAATAAGCCAAATAGACTGTGACACGGCCACTGAGCATGGCAACGCCGGCGGAGCCAATCACACACAGCCCTGAGTCGGGATGAAGGCTGCCGGCATCTGTAAACGAATCACTCTCACCTTCATTTTGGCGTAGCCTGCCAGATAGATATCAGAGTGAAATGGAAGTTATAGGCGATTGGAAGAAAAACTCAAGATTTTCACTTCAAAGTGAGGAAAGGGAGGCATCTTTAATTTGAAAAAGGGTGACATCTGTTTTGTTTGTTTATTATCAATGTAACCCCTTATACCCTAAAACACACAATACCTTATTGCGTCATTGCTTGTGTACCCATGTACATGTATAAGTTACAGAAGAAAGCTTTCATGGCCTTCCCTTTACCCTCCAATACCCAATCTTCCTCCATACTTTCTCTCCAGGTCCTCTATAACTTTCTATCTGCATGTTTTTCTGTCTATACATTTCATAAACATGTGCAAATAAAGCACATGCTTATTATCCATTGTGACACGTGATCTCAGATGACACATCATGTTCACATCATCACCAATGAGTGAAGCTGGTCATGGTAAACACCCTGTCATTACCGTTGACACACACTTAGTTAGCCAACTCTTTCTTCTCCCTTCTTTTTCACCAATAGTCTCCAGCGAAGGTAAGTCCACCTCCGGTTCTCCCTTTCTGACAAAAAAATATGATTGTTGTTTTTTGGGCTTTATGTTTTTTGATTTGGTTTGTCTGACTGGTTGTCAGCAGTACTGGCCCAATTGTCTTTTATCATGGTGAAAGGGTGTAGCATTGGCTAAAGAAGAACCCATTACATTTAGCTGGATATACAAATCGTAGACCGCACCACAGCATTGAGACTGCTCTTGCTAAGGTCTTCTATGACATCCACTTAAACACTGACAGTGGCAGAATCTCAGTGATAGTATTATTAAATCTTAGCGCTGCATTTGACACTGTTGACCACAACACATTACTAGAGAGACTGGAAAACCGGGTGGGACCTTCTGGAACACTTTTAAACTGGTTTGAATCCTACTTAAAGGACAGGAAAAAAGTTGTTTCTATAAGTAACTAAACATCTGAGAGGACACATGTGGGGTTCCTCAAAGCTCCATCCTGGGGCCTCTTCTCTTTAACATCTACATGCCTCCACTGGCTCATATAATGGAAAACAACAAATTAAGTTAACGGCTATGCAAAGGACACACACATTTACAAACATTTACAATTATTGGTCCAATTCAAGCACCTAGAAGATGTTAGAAAGCCCACGCGTTTACGGCCCGTCCACACGGCGGTGTGCGTTGAAGCTTCAATGCTTCTGCCCATTCACTTTGAATGGGGTGACGTCACGCTTTGCCGAACTGCATTGTGGGAGCGTTGCTTCGCTTTGCTCGCTTCAAAAGTTGAGCAATGTTCAACTTTTGAAGCTTCGGCGGAAGCGTCAGCCAATCAAATCATATGCCAGAACAAGCTCTAGCCAATCAAACCGTGTGCTTGTGTGTCCGGGGCGGGAGATTCATGTGATTGGTTGTTGGTCGAGCTTCAGACAAGCTCACCGGCAAGCTTCAACGCACGCCGCCGTGTGGACGCTGCGTTACATTGTAAGCTGATAAGTCTGTTTGTTGATGTTATATGTTTCAATCATTAATGCGCGCAGTGATTTGGTCCGTTACATGCGAGTGATGTCAACGGTGAAGCCGTGCCTGCGTGCCGGCAATATGTTTACTTTCGGTTTTGTTTGTAACGGTGGATAAATACCGTGAACAACCCGTTACACGACATCAGCAAGACCTTGAAGGAGCTGTCTGGGCTACATCGCTGGCGCCAAGGCCCTGAGTTCTCGGTCACTCCAAGGACCAATGGCCGACCAGCCCTTCAGCCGATCCAGAACTAGAGGACAGCGAATTTAAGAAGTCAGCTTTCTGTGGACACGTGACTGTCAGCCCATCTGTTTGACTCCCTGATATCAACTACTTAGTCCCTACATGGGGCGGTCGATCTGAGCTGTAGCTCACCTGATGAAGCCTCCTACTAACTACATCAAATCAGAGAATCTCCTTCTACAGCAGGCGCAGTTGGAGTCATTCGCATACAGTATGAGGTCAAAGCCCTAAGGTCTGATCATTCCCTACCAACCAACAGTCGTTTGGGCTCTCTGTCTATTGAGTATGATAGGGAGACAAGACTTATCAGAGCTGGAGGGAGATTGCGAAGAGCTGAGCGGCTGAAGTCAGATTCCATTCATCCGTCTGGTTAGATCCCAAACATCCTTTGACTAAGCTTATCATCCAGGACTTCAATGAGATGCTCCTTCATCCTGGCCCAGAGAGGGTGCTGGGTGAACTGCGTCACAGGTTTTAGATCCTGCGGGGAGGGAAGCAATCAAGAGGTATCAGAACACCTGCATGCAGTGCCAGCCACGCCTTCAGTACCCAAGATGGCAGACTTTCCTTCGGCTTGTCGACGTCTGTGTAAGACACCTTTTTACTCAAGCGGCGTCGACTGTTTTGGTCCCTTCCCTGTTAAGATTAGAAGGCCGACAGAGAAGCGATGGGGCATACTCTACAAATGCCTGCACTTTCTAGACCTCCTAGAAAGTCTTGACG